AATGGAAGATGAGAACATCTCATTTTTCCACCTATTGTCATCTACTTTTGCTCTTCACACTCATTTTGTAACCATAAAGGTAATGGCATCCCAAAAGCCTGTTACTTAAGAGCGTGGGCGGGGACTGGTGGCACTTAGGTTCTAAGGTGATGAATTTGTACTATTCATCACCCTTTCAGCTTTAGTTTCCTTCCTGCTTCACTGTGCATAATGATAGGAAGTCTCTACTAACAGGCTTTCATGGACAGCATCACTCTCTCCCATATGTTTAAAAGGCTACATTATACCATATTTTTAGTTCTATGTGGGATAATATTAAAAATCTCTATTTCAGGGAGTACATTTGGAGAAGGTTTTCCAAATTGGAGAGCTTACAGTTAGTCTTCTAAATTCACATTTAGGATCTGCTGGACTCTTAAGTCCTCCTATAAAGAAAACTCTCTGCAGCAGGGAGAAGTTAGTTCATTTCAAAAGTATACCAAGGATAGTACAGTGACTGATTTTTGTACTGAAACACTGACAAACAATGAAAATGTTTGTCAGGGGTAGGGTGGAACACTTAAAGAAAAGTCGTATCACTACTGTCAAATCTTAAGCATTCTCCATGTACTGCATCCTGTTTTCCTGTACTGATCTGTAGCTGATGGACAGTCTGATTCAATCATTTTTCTCAGAGACCATGAATGGAACAGCAAATTTCCATTCTCTTACATATTTTTTTATTTTCTCGTATATCTTTTTTTTCCAAAAAGGGAAAGCTAAATCGAGTTTAAAAAAAAAAAATGTGAGCGGTTTAACGTACATATGAAATATTTTAGTAGGTGTTGGATGCCAGTCCTGATTGTTCTGGAAAGTTTTAGCAGCTAACTAACTGATAACTAAAGTTTCCCCCAGTTGCCCGCTAATTTGTAAGATAGTAAACAGCTTTTGTTCACAAGTTTCTCCTTTGAGAATGGGTAGTTTCCAGGGAGGAGCACTTTGTGTATTCGACATATAACTTGTCCCGTTTTGGAAGGCTTGCCATGCTGAGCAGGGCACAACCCACAGCTGTGAAACCAGCCTGTAGTACTCAGGCTATTTGTGTGCGTGGATTGGGGGAGAAGGAGGTGAATAGGAAATCGCAAATGAACTTGGTACGGTGTATGCGCCTTGTAAATGAAACAAGGATCACAGAAAATACTGAGTCCTTAATCCCTTTGATCTGTATGTTCTGCTGGTTTTTTCAGCCCAAAGAACCTCCATTTAGGCAATATATTTAAAAAAAGGATTCACTGCAAAATAAGCTTTATATACACTGCATTTTGAAAAAGGGACTCTGAAGAAATAATAAAAATATCTCTCTTTGGCCTCTTTTAAAGCCTGTAAATATCAAGTGTCTTAAAATACTGCAAAAACTTTCAGTTGTACCATGGAACTGTTACTTATAGCTTCTTGCTTTTATAAAGTAGGTTAGTATGGATGGCACTATAAATTGCCATAGAATACTTCCAGGTCTCTTGGACCATGTTTAAACAAGCAGCTTTTTATGGCCCTGCTCTATAGCAACAGATACATAATACGAGGCTTATGACAGCATCCCAGGGTCAGCTCTGAATTTCTGCTGCGCTGTTTATTGCTTGGTGGAACATGGTCATGTTGCCAGGGGCACTGGATTGGGCTGGAATATCCCTGGTATTAATAACTTGAGTGATTGATCTTTGTAGTTGTTTTCAGGTTCCTTCTGCAAATGAGGTGGCAGACTTAGAAATGTAGCAAGGCTGGGTTGTAAGGAGTGGAATAGTTTCTTTTTAGAAAAAACCTTTCCGTTCTCACACTGTACCAAATCATGAACCAAGGAGAGATGCTGGTGGAAAAGACTGAAAAGTCCCTTCTTCTTCCCTCCTCAGATATTCTGGTCTATACTAACTCTACGTAACACCAGTGGTAGAGGTGCTCCCCGAGAGCCATGTTGCTCTTTGGTCAGGTTATCTTATTTTTAGAAGGGTCGAACCAGCACGTTAGTGTCACTTTCTCACCTTTTCCTGTTTGGGCAGACCGGGTGCACCCTCTCTGCTGCGGAGGGCAGGGGGCAGGGGGCAGGGTTCCAGGCAGTCGGTGAATACCTGAGCAGCTTCGGTGGGTGCACAGCCTTTAGCGGAAAGTTTCGCTCTACCCAGTGCAAGGTCACAGGGCAGTGGGCACAGGCGGTGATGTTGGCCATCTCTTGCAGGGAGTAGTGCCTGCTGCAGCACCCAAACCATGGCACAACTCCAGAGCACCTTCTTTTCATTATTCCCGCCTCTGAGACCTCTGTTGAGTTGGAAACACGTATCTGCCCATCACCCCACCCAGATGCCTCCCTAAGAGTAGATTAAGTTGCTTCTGACAGTCCTCTCTGGCAGCAACAAGCCATTAATACATATATATATTTATCTCCTGATCAGCCATACTATGAAATATGATTTTAGTCTGAAATTTCATACAGGTGTTGGGCTAAATCACAGCAAAATTGTGAAACCATGGGGGCAGTAAGTGAACGAGGACTGGGCTCATATTAATTTAAGGGATTTACAGTCAAAAGAATAAAGTTACTTGAATGCTCTGAGGGCTGGAGCCCCTCTGCCATGGGGACAGGCTGGGAGAGTTGGGGTGTTCAGCCTGGAGAAGAGAAGGCTCTGGGGAGACCTTATAGCACCTTCCAGTGCCTGGGGGGGGGGGGGGGTGTACAAAAAAGCTGTGGGGGGACTTTTTACAAAGGCCTGTAGTGACAGGACAAGGGTAACAGGTTTAAATTGAAAGTGGGGAGGTTTAGATTGGATATCAGGAAGAAATTCTTCCCGGAGAGGCTGGGGAGGCACTGGGACCGGTTGCCCAGAGAAGCTGTGGATGCCCCATCCCTGGAAGTGTCCAAGGCCAGGCTGGATGAGGCTTGGATCAACCTGGTCTAGTGGAAGGTGTTCCTGCCCATGGCAGGGGGGGGAAACTAGATGATCTTTAAGGTCCCTTCCAACCCAAACCATTCTATGATTCTATGAGGATGCCCCTTGTGTGGGAGGCATAGTTGTTATTTCTTCTTCACAGGAATTCCTACTGAACCTGGAAAATTAATTCATGTGAGAGCAAGCCAAGTGGAGTCTGGTTTACGTTGTTTCAGGAGCATTCAGGTTTTGTAATCAGAGGGTTCCTCAGGTATACGTATTTAACAAAAGGGAAACAGTACTGCAAGATCAGATTGCTTTGTTCTGCATTCACTGGCCTTGGAAAGTAGAAAGATGGGATTTGCAGTGGATTCTAGCTACAACAGTAGGTGATGGTGGGAGTTGGCAGCAACTGTCACTTAGCTATGTTCCTTCCAGCAGTTTTGCTTCTAATGCTGAAGACTGGGACCTCCAAGCGCAGACCAAAGGTCCCCAAAGCGTGGCAGTGTGACCACGGTCTGCTCTCCCCGTGAGGTGACGTCTGAGGGCTTACAGCTTCTCCATTTGGTACGGAATAATGGCTTGTGCCTGACTAAGCTCATGTTATTTTGGAAAATGGAAAATCTGCAAGGGTGAGATACAATCTTGCATTGCCACCCGTATGATGTCTGTGTCTCATGATGGTAACTCATCAAGACCAGGGAATGGTTTGGCTTATTTTCATTATGGAGTCTAATGTCACGAGATCTTAAACGCTTGGGATTTTGTACTGCCCATGTCTGCAGTTACGTAGTACAAGCGTAATTGCAACGTTTTTATTTTACTTTAGTTTTCATCACTCCCCACTGTGGTACAGGCTACTCGTAACATTGCATATTTTAGAGTCAATTTAATAAAACACTTGCAGTGAAATTAAATTACTTCTGATGCTAGTATTGGTATTGTAAATCACCTGGGTCTTGCCAAGATTAGGCTGAGCAGTACTAATACCACAAGGAATATGACTGGTATTGAGTCTCAGCAGTTACTGCATCTATACGTAAGCAAGCGTGGGTGATCTGCCGTGCTCAACACATCCGTATCGAAGCAGACTGCACTGTGGGTTCAGTGATTGCATGTTTTCTCTGTTTGAGATTTGACTCGAGTGCTGGTAGCTGGGGGAAGGAAATTCAGACTTTTTTTTTAATTTTGGGAGTGGGGTTTGTTTGTTTTTCTTTTGGGGGTTGTGAGGTTGGGTCTATGAAGGTCAGGATCACCTACTCCAGATAACCAAGATTGTGGTTATGTAAAACGGGCAAAAAAAGGGAAAAGGTGGTGTAGGCAAAAAATATTTGCATAAGGAGATGGGAAGTAGTGGCATAGTGGGACAGAAGGGAATGATGTGTTTCCACCGTAACTACTGAAGTACTGAAAGATCACTTAAAATAAGGTGTTCAATGACCATTAAACTTTATTTTTAAGTAGATTTGATTGAAGAGTTGCTTATTATTTTGCAATAAATTAAACAGAAAAGATGCTACATACCTGCCAGTTGAATACAAACTCAGTAAAAGTACAGCTTATATAATTCTTACATAATTTAAAATATATCCATTTTAAGATATGTCAATTTATAATACATTTACATAGCATAATAGCATCATGGAGCTGCCCTCAAGCTTATTGACACTTCACAGATTCAAAAAAGCCATTAATCAGTCTTGTCTGGATATTTTCCTGTTATGCACAAAATTGTCAGTCAACATTTTTCTTCTGAACTTGATGAATCTTTTCCAAGACTCAGCTTGCTAGTCTTGGATTTCCTAAAAATCAGCCGTTCTTTGGTTCAATGTTCACAGTGTGGTTCAAACAATAAATAGTATTCATATCCTCTCTTGACTCCATGGTGTATGAAAGGAGAGGATTTTCTCCCTGTGCTGCTCTGATCCTTGTAAGTCTTGCCAGTTTTAATCCTGTATTTTCTTGGCTGTGGAGCTGTTTGCATCTCCTCGTATCTCTCCTCGCAAGGCGGGAGTTCTCCTGCCGAGATCCAACCACCCTGAAGGATCTCTCCTCAGGTTATTTGACACAGAGTCTAACTGGCTCTTCACTGCCTTATACACTTCATTTTGAAGTGTTGATTTGTAGCTGGTTCAAAAGGTTCAAGTAGGCTTTGGATTTCAAAAATCTCGGATATGAATCCCTTTCCATGAGGATATACACAGTTTTCTGGGCTTCATCAAAACTTGTGTGAGTTGGGGCTTGAGCCCTTCTGGCTGTTGCTTCCCTCATCTGATAGTCAATATTGATCTGGAAAGTGAAAAACAAATGCCATTGACATCTAAAAAATGTACTCTCTCATATACCTGTCCCTTTGTTTTGTCAATAAACAAATAACCAGACATAGAACTTGGTGTGATAGTTCAGTATCAGAACTGCAATGAAGGAATTCTAATGCTTATGTCCCAGTCGTGCACAAAAATTGCTAGTAACTATAGAAATGCAGTTTCTTACGGAGTCAGAAGTAATACAACCCAACAATGGAGTCAGTAGAGGGACAACCTCCAATCAAACCTCCATTTAAAAGAATAGGAGAAATCCTGTGTAGAATGAGAGTCTCCAACTTGAAACAGGATCAATGTACACTACTTCTAATTCTCCAGAATGTCCACATATTTTAAGAGACAAGAAATAATGCATGGCACCCCTACTAGCAAAGCGCTCGAAGTATCTGACTCTGAGCACCAGCAACAATTAAAACTGGGCTGTCTCAGAGGACAGCATCCTGTGCTGAGCCACTGGTGCCTCTGCTGAGCTTCTGCTCATGGGAGTCCTGGCCTGTACTGTGTGACTCTATTTGTGAGATCTGATAATCTCACGTCTGAAGATAGTAAGGGTGCAAATGTGCTCATAAAAACATGCACCTGTGTCTTCTTCCTGGTTAACTGAATGAGTGCATGAGCATCTCAGTGGAACTACACTTCCATCTTCTGATTTCCAGAATCCTTGTACTGTAACAGTAGACAGATTAACTTTGTACATACCTGTTTAATAGCATCTGACTGAACAAACTCCTCATAAATCCTCTCTGCTTTGCACTGTAAGTGATCAGACTTGGTTTTCTTGTAATCCTCACAAGCTAACCAGAATTCGATGTTTTCCTCGCTGAACTCTGACTTCAGGAACTCCCGAAAGACACCTTGACCACCTAAAGCCAACATAAATACACCATCATTTATAGCATGATATTTGTGACCAGAGAGGATAAAATAAATAGCAGGAGTTATATTGAAATCTCACCGAAATACCCTAACACTAGTCTTGCCGGATACTCCAATATTAAGGGTGATTGGACTCTTCCTAATTATGTTCAGTGCTTTTAGATTTAGACCCTGGCTACCAAAATACATCCATAGATTCTAATCCTACCTAAATGATTTGTCTTAGGGTACAAGCAGACAGAAAATTCCAAATTAAACTGACATGTTATGCAAGGACAGATATTTTTAGTCCAGCTATTTGGGGTTTATTTCTATAGCAGGAGTAGGAAATGGAAGGAAAATCCCCAAACTTGGAAGCAAAGCTGGACAGAGTAGCCATGTTACACTGAAGCTGTAAATAACTGAAATGCAATTGGCCGTTCTCTGGCAGTGTTTGTGGAATTCTATAGCTTTGCCTATTTGGTGAGATTAGAGAAAATTTTGCCCTCACAACAAGAACGAAGTCATGCTGATGTACTAGACTTACTTTGGCTAGCCAAGAGCTTTTCCAAAGACTGGGACCACTGTGTTACTTCCTCTGCAGAAAACCTAAGGTGATCAAAAAAAAAAAAAAAAAAGACTTTAGGCAAGAAACCATGTGGTTTTATTTTCATGTTTAAAGGAGACAAATTTTACAATTTATTATTCTATCCTAGGAAAATGTACCAGGTATTTATTCAACTTACAGCTTTCTCAAAATCTGAGATGCTGGAGGCAAGCCCACATTGAGAAGAATAATGAGAGAGGTGGACATTCAAGAAACTGGTATTACCCTAAATTCTGTTCCCAGCTCATCTGAGCTTTTATTGCAACTATGGCCAAATAATTTTGTATCTATACTTCTGTTTCCATATTCCTGAAGTAAGAATGGTAGTACCCCTGCTCTTCATTTAAGCGTGAAGCTTCCTTTCTTGTAAATCTTTAGAGAATGGATACAATGTCCCTCTGAAGGAAATAGATTTGGCTGTCCCCTTCCTCACCGTTTGTTGCAAACATATTAGATATCACTAAGAAAAAGCCCTTAACTCCATGAATAGTTTCCACTTCCTAATGTTCACCTCTTTTGAATTCTGGAAATTCTAGGCATTATTATCATATTTGTTTTTCTAGAAGTAGTTTAGAAATTAACACAATAGTTCAGTTTATAGTGATCTAGCTGTACCTATAACCGTGATTCTCAGTACTTACGTGACATTTCTGGAGTTAGAAGTCTTGATCCCAGATTCGATATGGGGTACCATGCACTTCAAATAATTTTTGAGGTCTGCACCACTGAAACCAATGAACAGACATCTTTGTCATCCATAAGTTTACAGTTGCATTTTAGTTTTACTTAAAAGTCTTAAAACTTTTAAACAGGCTGACAGCTCCATCCTGTGACTGAAGTCTGGGAAGTTACTTATCCAAGTAACATTTTTCAAAAGACTAAGAGGCTCCCAGCGTATCCAAAATCTACTCCTGACTCCTTAGGGGAATGAATTCATTGGTGTGCATCAGCTCAAGCCACTGTTAATGGCACTCTATTCCTGGGCTTTGAGCAGGCTTTGCAGTCATTTAGCCTGAAACATGGTGCTGATTCTTGAGCTCCAGGATTCTAGTGCTATTTTCACTTTAATCCATTAGAGTTCATACTAAGAAGTATATACTTACAAAGCCTTTTGCTTCTTTTTATGGATTTTGCCTTCTGCAATCTTGCAGTCTTCTTTTCCATTTAATTCAGACATGTTGTTGTGGGAAAAAAAAAATCCTGGCATTTTACTTAATGCGAAGCGACTTCTGCAGCGATAATCCTCCAAGCACCAAATGCCAGTTCCCTGACTCTGCTACCGCCTTTTATTGACGCAGGCAGCCCTGCTGGTTGGTGTGAACAGATCTGTTTATCGTGTATCCTCACCACAAACTGGAAGTTCCCTTTTTTTCAGTACACGCTGACGTGAGTCTTTTGAGAAAGAAAACAGACAGCGGTGTCTCGTGGTCGAGGTTAAACCGGATGAGACTGAATTACTTTGGGTTTGTTTTGTGTGTCTGCGTATGTCTGTGTTACCAATTAAAAAAAAAAACCCTCTAGAACTTTGAATTCTTGTCCCTTTCTGATTGGTACGTTCAAATCAGTAGTACTTCTTGGGTTTATCTAACGGGCTGCAAATACTGCAGTTTTATCTTGACAAAATTCACCTGCTACATGCCTGCGTTCTGAAATTTCATACTTTACCAGTGATTTGATGGGCTCAGTGGAATATTAGAAAAAAAGTACTTTAAGATATGCCAGTATTAAAGTTCCATATGAAACCAGCTATTTGCAAGTCGCCAATTGCTCTTCAAGCTAGAATACTACATCAGACAGAGTAATCACATCGGTATAGACACAAGTGCTGTGAAAATGTTTGAGTGATTTTCATGGTAAAGGGTTTTGAAGCAGCAAAGACTAAGTTCAGTTTCATTTTTCCAAGTCAGATTATGTGGAAGCACACTACTTGCCTCCATAATTTGAAGCGATTCAGCATGTGTAAATACTGATTTAGGTTGAAGAGCTATTGTTTGTAAAGACAATGTGAACGTTACAATGTGCTTGAGGGAGATTTGCATCCTTTGTAAATAGTTGAGTTTCACTGCAAGAAGCAGCCGTGGATACAAAGCATGATGAAGAATTAATTGTTGCCCTCTATTTATCAGTCTGGGCTGATGATTTATAAATCAAGGACTTAATCTGCCCCCTAGGCATCCCAATTTCTGCTTGTTTGTAGGTTGGGGTTTTTTTCCTGGGAATTTTCAAGGATTTTGTTTTATTTAATAATGCATATAACTTTGCTTATAAGCAGCTCATCAGTGATTTGTACGGGGCTGCATATGATGATGGTAACTGAGAACTTGCTGGGATATCTACGGTTTCATAGTGAACCGTGACACGCAGGACTCGGGGGCACAGAAAGCTGCCTGCAGACAGATGTGCATGCAAGGACAGACGGTCTGCGTCAGGGTGGTTTTAACCACAGGAGGCTACTGATCCTCTGAATATTAGCAGTGACATAAATATGTCTGCATAGGTTGTACTGCAGGAAACATTTATTTCTACACTATCAGGTAAACACTGACCTTTGTAAAGCAGAGGTATTTATTTACCAACTGCTCTTAACCCCCGTGAACAAGGCTAAAAAGGAAGAGATGTTATCAGTACTGTATTTGTTTTCATACCTAGCATGCTGGGCTTTGACGTTCAGCCCTCTCGGTGTCTCACTGTTTCTTCAATTAGTAGCTCTCCTCCCTGAATTACTGGGAGGGTTGTAGAGATGCTGCAACCACTCTTCTCTGAAGGGTGCAATGAAAGGGTAAAAGGCAAGAGACAAAAGTTACATCAAGGGAAAATCCCTATTCTCTACCACATCCCTCAGGACTTTGCAATCTCAGGCTAAAAGGAGAGCATTGTTTTGAATTTATAATTACAAGTAGGTATAAGCCATCAGTAGGTTATGTGTAAGAGGCATTAGGGTTGCTCCCCTGAAGAACAGGGCAGTCTGCTTGTCTGTGCCTCTTATCAATGCAGGACTGCTGACAGTTCGTTACCAGACAAGGAATGTCTGTTCTCCATTTAAAACGAAGTGACTATCTTTACCTTTGGGATTTGTTAAACATATCAACGCATGTTACAGGTGTTGCTTCAGACCTTCCTCTAGAAAGGGATTGCTACATGCTGCTGCATGGTCTTGGTACTTCACTTTCATGCAATAAATATTTTCATGAGTAAATAAGGGATAGTATTCTTGTTGTTTACATCCAGGTAATGCTGCTGTCACACAATAGTTGAATTGTATTCCATGTGTTTCATTTGGTAAAGGAGAGCAGTTATGTCAGTATTAGACAACAGTGTACTTTGTGGGGTGAAATAGATTCATTTCCCTGTGAGCTTTGGCCTTGCTGTTTTAAAGGCTTCTGAAACAAGGCCTCAGCAGAGGCCACAAACTTGTTTTCTGGCACACTGCATTAATTACCTTGGCTTTTATCTGACAAGCTTGTGTGAGTCTGAAGTCTTTCCCAGCCTCATTTCTGAACTACCTACTCTCCTTCTGATGTTCCTGTTGGGAGATCAGTTGGAAGATATTACACCTCTGGGGTAGGTAGGTAGTAGCCTTTGCTTTTAGGATTCTTATTCTACTGGACTTGAAAGTGGTCAAAAGGGAAGGAGGAATATGTGGACTACTGTAGTCTAAAGGAGGAAAAGGTTGTGGTTACCAAGCAGACCACCTGGCATTAGCTGACATTCTTATGTGCTGCTGTTCTCATATCCTGAACGTAAAATGCTTTTAATATGCTAATGTTATGTCCTGACCCTCTAAGCTGTCATCTGAGAGTCCACTCCAGTCTTCCAAATCAGCAAACCCCAGCTTCTGCATTACTACTGCTGCTCGTTATCCCTGTGCAAAGAAAATCAATGCTGCCTCTCTGGCTTACTCTAAGCCACTATCTTTTTTTTTTTTTCCCCCACTGTGGACAGTTACTTTCTTCCTCTGAGTAATTATGATCTTTAGAGTATCCATTTTTTCTTGATGGAATATTTCACTGACTGTGACTCACTCTTTCTATTCAAGCCTACTCATCTTTAAGATTTTATTTGTTGATCGCAATGCAAGTTACCTGATTTCAAGTGATAGGACAAGAAGAAACGGCCTCAAGTTGTATCAGGGGAGGTTTCAATCAGATATTAGGAAAAATTTCACTGAAAGGGTTGTCAGGCATTGGAACGGCTACTCAGGGAGGTGCTTGAGTCACCATCCCTGGAGATACCTGTAGATACCTTTGAGTCCTGTAGCCGAGGTGCTGAAGGACATGGTTTAGTGGTGGATTTGGCAGTGTTAGGTTAACAGCTGGACTTTATGATCTTAAAGGTCTTTTCCAACCCAAAAGATTCTAAGGATGGGAAAAGTGTCTACAAGACTAAGGTATGTGTACAATTACAGTGAGAGGAAAAAGAGAAACCATAGATTAATAGGGCTGACAAGAATTTTTCTGTTATTTGAGATACATTCTGCTTCTGTAGACCACAGAGAACCAGGAAAACACCTGCACAGAATCTCCTAAAGCAAAAATGTTTTGCTAACTATGAACATGTTTATTGTAGAGGATCCTGCTTTGAACAGGAGTTGGACTAGGTCCCGCAGATGGACGAGATGTCTGTACCCTCCAGCTTGCATGATTCTATTGTTCTGAATACCCTGACTTGACATTTGTAGTGTCAAAAGTGCTACTTATTTTTAACATAACTTGAAAAATACAGTACTTCAAAATCCCATGCGTTCAGCCATACTCAGGTTCACTACTCTTGTTTCCTGCAGACAGAAGTGTAGTCCCGGCTCTGGTGGGATTTAACATGATACCATGAGGAATAGTTACCCCCTGACCCAGTGGAGAGCTTTTCACATGACTTCTGTCCTCCTAATTTACTGTTTTGTTTTTTCTTCAGTTTCATCCTGAGGTGGTGGGTAACAGACCTGTCTTTCATGTCCCTCAGTCTTAATCTACCTATATAATACTGTGCACTATTTCATGCAGAGCATGACAGCTAATTTCTGCTTGAAATACTTTCTTGTTTGGTTTCCTTCTATTATTATGATTACAGGAAATTGCAAAAAGTATATTTTGAGCCTTACAGTTTTAGGGCCTACTAGAACAATCCCATCATTTGTTACAGAACCTTCTGTCCTAACGTTGGCATCGCCTCATTGACTCTGTCCAATGAAAGGACAGAGGAGCATTTTTTTATTTTGCAGCAACAGCAGCACAGCTGGCTATCACCAGCTGGGTTTTACTGCTTTCCAGATCTCTTGTAGGTTTGTGATGAGTAATTCATCTCACTTCTTAATGTGCACAGAAGGAACTTGCAAACGCTTGTATTCAACCCGTTTCCATGCACTGTTTCCCCTTCTTTCTGGTGACCACTTGGTGGAGTGCAAGAGAGAGAGAAAATGTGGGAGAATTTCCAAGATTACAACATTGGACAGGCTTAGTTAGAGCAAAGAGGATAAAAAGTCCCATGAACTCTCTAAATCCCACTTGCTGGTGTAAATGATTTCAAGCTTCTCCTTCTGACTTCTGCTTTTAGGCTCCTGTTTGGTTGCTCTTGACTGGCCTTACCCTCCTTCATTTTCCATTTCAGCTCGGTTTGGCTTAGGGAAGCTGTTAGCTTCCATGTGTGGCCAGCATGAGCTTTACTGTACCTTCTCTGTCCATCATATGCTTTTCTGGAGTTATCTGGCCAAATCTGTGCGGAGCTGGCTGAACTCGAGTGCCCAGAGAAGCAACGCTGCCCCGCTGCAAAACGTCCACTTGCCGGTGACATAGCTGAGCTTTAACTTAGCTATGAAAACAAGTGATTTCTGTGAAACGCTTCTTGTCTCTTACATGACCTAAAGAGGTGAACTACTGATAATCCATCTCTCAAGCAAAAGAGGCACTTAAAGGAAATAGAAACTAGTTTCTATGCGAGAGGAAGCAGTGTTCATTAAAAAAAAAGGGGCGCTTTTGAGCGGTAGGGATAATATTTTGGAACATTAACATTTTCTCTAGTATCCTGCAGTCGGTGTATAACGGAGTGATGGTATCCATTACTAATTTTCTTTTAGATCTAATTTATGCTACAAGCAAATGCTTTCTGGATTGAAATCCTGAAGCTACCGAGATGAAAATCTTGCTACTGGTTTTAGTGGTCTCATTCTTAGTGTTGGACTGATTTGATTGAGAATTGAGCTTTTTTGAGAGATTT